AAAATGTGTATCGATACCTCTACATGTACCGATACACTACTACAATAATTTCAGCCCAACGTCATAAAATTTGAATTTTATGAAGGGGTACCGATACACCTAAAGAGTGTACTGATACACCTTGTTCTGGGTAGTTTTATTTTGCAGAAAATAAATCCCCAATGGCTATATACGACTTCAAACTCATTCCAACTTATAAATACATGTTCAAGACACTTAAAGAATATAGAGAACAACTATCCAAGCAATCAAACACAAGAGAAGAGCTTTTTATTCTTATTTTCCTTTCTCTTATAAATATTTGTTCTTGTGAGCTTAATTCTTGTAAATACCTACCTTTGAGAGGTTTATTTGTTTACTTCTTTTATCCTTTTGTAAAGGGGAAAGGTTCTAGTTTATCCCATGAAAAAATAGGGAGTTGTAAAGGTTATCTATTTGTCCTTAAAAAGAAAGAACAAATTAGTGAATTTGTTGGAAAATCCTTGGTGAGGAGCTAAGGTAGTGGATGTAGACTTGGTTGAGAAGTCGAACCACTATAAATCGCTTGCAATTCTCTATCTTTCAATCTCCTTACTCCCTAAACATAAAAACTATTCCAACCCCTTTTTACAAACCATTTCGGCTATCGATTCGAGCTTCCACAAATCCCAACAAAAACCTATTAGAGCATATCTAATTCAAATCTTTAAATTTCATGCCAACTACTTTAATTAAACAAATAACATACTATATACATTGTTTCTGATCTGATCTTCTTGTATGGGTATGTTGTCTTATTTGAACTTAGCTTTGCTCTTCCTGCTCCTCTATACATGTGTGTGAAACACTCACACGCTAAGTCGAGGACTTAGTGAGGCATAAAATGCATAAATGACATATTGGAACATATAACCACATACTTTCACAACATACAAACACATCACCTATTTAATCAAACAGAACATATATCATCATGAATTTAACCAGTATTCACATATAATTTAATGCATGGTTCACTCATTTTATTTCAGTTATTAGTTCATAGTACATTATTGAGAAATAAACTCTACAACCACTTAATATATATATATATATATATATATATATATATATATATACCTCATATTAAGAAACCATAGAATATCTCATATAATAACATCATATATGCATATTTATATATATCATCGTCATCAACACAAATATCGTTATCATTAGTCCCTTTTATCATATTATCTGGTACTTAACTTTCGTAAACATCATATAATATATCACAAAGCAAAACACAGAACATCATATACAATTTATTTATTTATCTCTTTTAATAGCCCATGGTACACTTCTGAGAACTTAAGGTATGTGAGTGCATTGAGGTTGTGCACAAATGTTGTCATCATAACTCGTATAAATTGCACCAAAGTGCCATATAGATTGTCCCGAATGACCATATAGATGTCCTGAAGGACCGCGTAGAAATGTCCTAAAGGACCACGTAGAATTGTCCTGAAGGACCGCGTAGAACTCTCGACTCTTGGCATGCCAATAATACCCTTAGCTCTCATAACACATACTTATAGGCTTACTGTTTACACATTTCACATTTTCAATTATTCACATAATTCTGTATCACATAGATTATATCACGTATTCGCATAGTCATATAGATCATCTCATAGACATGTACTTTCATAGCTCATAGTCACATAGCTTATATCATTTCTCATGTAATCACATAGGTCAATGTTATTGAGCTAATCTCACTTTTTCATTTACTAACATAGGTTATTTATATTAGTGCACATAGGTTACCATGCAGACATGTATTCACATAGATCTAATTCATATAACTTATACCTTGTTATCATATATTCTCATAGATCATTATCACATAAAATAACATGTAACACATAGTTCATGAATAACAATGCATATAACATATAACATGTATTCATGTACACATAGAAACCATATAAACAATATGCTTGTATTAATAGAATCATGCAATCAAAACATTGGAAATAGACTCATCACAAGTCTCATTTCCATAAACACCATATACATATTAATATGCACTCATATTGGCCTCACTAGTCACAACAACACTTATAACTCTTATCTCTTACTTGATCAATGTTATCCTGATGACTCGTCAGATACATGTTTCCATTCGATATCTACACGATACATATAATTGATATGAATGTCTTAATTTGAATTACTATTAATCAATCGTATATAACATAAGCTATACAAAGTACTTAATTCACAATTTTCATATGAGTAGTATCGGTACCCAAGGTACAATACCAATACTTCCTTATTGTGGTATCGATACTATACTTTAGTATTGATACCCTATTTACATACTGGAATTCGCTTATTAAAATTGTACGAATACTTAAACATTGGTATCGATACCCCTAGTATCGATACTACTCCTTCGGTATAGATACTTCTTAAAGATTTAATTCACTTTTACCTTATGGTATCGATACTGTTCATCCATATCGAAACCCAGACCCAATTTTCACATATTTTTACTTTGGAGTATCGGTAATATTCATCCAGTACTGATACCCCTTGCCCATAATACACTTATTTAACCCAAAAATTTATCAAAACTTATATAAACTCCATACCTTGAACTCCTCTCAGTACTTCAAACTCAACTATACTCACTCAAAGCATCTTATATCATTTTAACTCATCTTAGCAACCAATATTTAACTAGAACACTTGAAACTAAAATCTTACCAAATATTCAACTTTGTTATTAACTCTGTCAAACCTCTTAAATCTCTTATTTTGACTAATGATAAGTCAAATATAACTTACAAATCCATTTACAAACTCTCTCCCAACAATTCACTTAAAAACCCCTTAATTTCAATCTCCCATAACTTGCAAATCTTTTTAGTTTTTACTTCTCTTTAAACTTCCTTAAGTTTTCCTAACACTTCTAGAATGAAAACCAACTTTAAAATGAAAGGAAACTTTAACTTGATATCATCTTACCTATGGAGTCACGGGGAAAGAAGAAGAAGAAGAAGAGATCTTAACCAAAGTCTCCAGATATTTCTCTCTTTTCCTCCTCATTCTCCACGTGGATATATATACACTCAAATGAATTTTTAATTCATTTCTTATCAAATGACCCTTATTCCCTTTCATCTTTCAAACTTTTTTATTCAATCCTACTCTAAGATATTCCAATTAGGTCCCTAAACATTTCAATTTTCAAAATTGACCACAAAGTTTCAAAAACTTACATTTTAGTCATTAGCCGCTTTTTGGGATTTTACAATGAACATACTAAGCGGCCTCGATAATAAGAGAATCATTGTTATTCTTTGATGTTTGAACAATAGAAATATCAGGGATGTAAGTGTACAATATCAAATTATTGAAAATTATCTTTGAAAATATATTACCTTGTACTTATCCTATATTAATAAAAAACCTTAGACACTCTATATTTACCGACTTACGAAAATCTCAATGAGGTTTATTTTAAACGTTTAGGAGTAAAAAAACATATTTTTTTTATAAAACTGTAAAATTTATAGTTTTTTAAAATATTTAATCTTAAATATTAATAATTAATAAAAATAAAATCAAAACAGAAAAAAGGTTAACTCATAATCTATGAGAAATAACGTTGTTTAGAGAAAATGCAGTCTCACCTCGACACCTTTACGCTTTAATGGTGCTCTTGATATTTTTTTAGATAAGATGAATTCATTATATTCAAAGAATGCACAAAGTTGCTACATCAAATCCGAGCACCAAACAAAAACAAAGGAGTTCACTCAAGAATACCCCAAACTGTACAAAGTAAAGAATTTATCCCATCTGCTCTATCTATACAGCTACCCTTGAACTTAATTCTAACAATCTTTCTAATAGACTCAAAAACATTATCCTCACTACTCACACAATGATCAAAGATTCTGCCATTTTTTTCAAACCAAAACAAAGTAAATAAGAGCATTTCAAGCAATATTTAAAATGAAGGTAATCAGGGACTTACCTTTCAAATTCTTAACGACTCATCGCAACTCAAAATCCCAATTTCTAATAGGTCTTTACTAGCCACAAGTATTAAGACCCTTCTAAATCGAGTCAGAAAAGGAACAACCAAAGAAAAGGTAACCCCTTATCTCAGCAACACTACCACAAAACACGCACATATCATCAACCATCATGCCAAAACGAATGAGGCGATCCCTTGTGTTAAGCCTCCCTAAAATACCAACCAAACAATGATAGCATGCTTCGGCACATGGAATGTAAACCAAACCAATTTGTTCCAGGAAACTCTATCCCTCTTGAATCTAATATCCATCCAATCTCCTAGTGATCAAAATATCCGGGTTAGCAGAAGCAAGAAAAAGAGGACGAGCCTCATCACGTAAAAGAACAACTTCCGCAAACACCAACTCATATATCCTTTAGGCACCATACACCAGAAGTCCTAGCCCCTTCAAAATTGGAAAGATAACTTGATTGAGTTGTTCATCATCAAAAGATGAAACTTTCATCTCAAACTTCGAATTTAATCAGTCATGTTGTTTATAGAGATGATCAACAATAGATAGATGAAGATTTTAATTGGATTCAAAATTGAATTGATATTTTATCTACATTTTGGAGATTAAATTAATAATTATTAAAAGTTTAAATCAAATTATTAATTTTTTAAAATTTAAAGGTCAAATTAAAAATTAATTATTTTATTAGTGTGTCAAATCAGCAAGTAATTTAAAATATAATAAACCGATAATATAAGTGATTAAAACATAATTTTTGAAACCGGTAACCAATATAAGATAGACCGAAATCCAAAGGGTTCAGTAGTGTAGTTTACCGTTAATAATACTAATTCTACAAGATACTGAATTTGAGTAGAATCCCTCTAACTTTGGGTATTATGATTTCCAAATTAAAAATCTGTTATATGGATTCCGATATTCAAACTTATCTTGCAGATTGCAATATGTTTTCCCATTTCACTGTTGTTTAATTCAATGTTTGATCTTCCGGTGACACTTTTCTCTTCACTTTCTCATGGGGTCAGTGAAAAAGAATTTAAGAAAAAAAACCTAAATCCTCATTCTCTCGCTAGGTTCTAATATTAATCCCAAAACCATAGAAAAAAGGAATCATCGACTCCAATTTTTCCCAAATACATATTCTGCCTTGTCGGAAATGGCCAGTTCCGATCCCGAAGGGCTGACGGCGTACGGATGACATGGAACGCTTGGCCTCGCACCAAACTCGAAGCCAGCAAGTGTGTGATTCCGCTGGCTGCTTCGATCGCTCCGATCCGCCCACACCCGGACATTCCGACGCTCCCTTACGCTCCTCTCCGGTGCCGGACATGTTCCGCCGTCCTGAACGCCTATTCGCAAGTCGATTTCGCTGCCAAGATCTGGATCTGTCCGTTTTGTTACCAGCGCAACCATTTCCCCCACCATTATGCCATGATCTCCGAAACGAACCTGCCTTGCGAACTCTACCCGCAATACACCACCGTGAAATACTCTCTTCAAGCAAACACTGATCCAAGCAACCCTTCCAATGCTCTTCAATTGCAACCAGTGTTTGTTTTCGTGTTAGACACTTGCATGATCGAGGAAGAGCTAGGATTTGCTAAATCGGCGATGAAACAGGCCATCGGGTTGTTGCCGGAACATGCTCTTGTTGGTTTCATTTCATTTGGAACTCAAGCACAGGTTCATGAATTGGGGTTCACAGAAATTTCGAAGGTCTTTGTTTACAGGGGGAGTAAGGAGGTACCCAAGGGGCAGGTGTTAGAGCAGTTAGGTCTCGGTGCTGCAGGGCGGCGGCCGAAGTCTGGTTATTCGAAAGGACTGCCAAATGGGTACACGGATACTGGAATTAACCGGTTTTTATTGCCTGCTTCAGATTGTGAATACTCTCTCAATTCTGTGCGTTTGGATTTATTCATTATTCATATTAGTTTTTAAATTTTTGATTTTTTTTATCAAGTGGTTGGTTGATTTCAATGTAGTTGCTGGATGAGTTGCAAGCGGATCAATGGCCTGTACAAGCAGGCTGCAGACCCTCAAGGTGCACTGGAATAGCCTTAAGTGTTGCTGCAGGACTGCTTGGAGCCTGCTTGCCTGGTACTGGTGCTAGGGTTATAGCTTTGGTTGGTGGTCCATGTACTGAAGGGCCAGGCACGGTAATGCCATTAAATTCTTTGTTTAGCTTCTCAAATTTTACCAATTCCCAAACTTACTGATACAAATCAAATTTATGTTGCTGATAGTGATGCATTTAACGTGTGTTTCTTATGAATTGTTTTGTTTTTGGGATGTTACACAAATAGTATGTTATAGTTGGGAACTTGGGATGGATATGGTTTGTCGTAATAGGCATGAGTTTTATTTCTTCTGCACTCTTGAATTTTCTATTATGTTTCGTTACTAACATTTATGTGCATTTTACACATTTCTCTATTGTTACAACTTTTCCCTTTTTTTTCTTAGTTTCAAGTTTCTGGTGAATGTTTCATTGGGGGTGGTATTTGATAAAGTTGCAAGCTTGTCACCTTGACCTTAATAGTTAATTGTTTTGTGCTGACAAATTTGGTTCTTAAATACCTTGGTAGTTATAGGCAGAATTCATACACAACTATGATTTAATTGATGAAAATGGAGATTAGAAAAAATCTTCACTTGAGAATTGCTTCTTGTTTAATGTGTATTTCTTGGCTGCCATCAAGATGATACTTATTAGTGTGGTTTTCTGCAGATTGTTTCAAAAGACTTGTCAGAACCTGTACGTTCCCATAAAGATCTTCATAAGGATGCTGCACCATATTTTAAGAAAGCAGTCAAATTTTATGATAGTCTTGCTAAACAGCTGGTCAACCAGGGTCATGTACTTGACCTTTTTGCATCTGCACTTGATCAGGTCTGTCTGGGCCACCATTTAGGTTTTCCGATAAATCTGTCTCTATGTGGATCTAGGTTAATTGACTTCAATACGCCAAAGTAATATTTGTAATGTGCCTGTTCATCTTCTGTCCATTCTGCTTAGAATTTGTATCACTCTCTGTTTTTCTTGCATTTGAAATTTATTCATTAAGATGCTAAGCCTTGATTTTGTTATGTTTCTATAATTGGTGGGTTGTGATGTAAAGTTTTATTTTGTAGAAAATTGTGGAATCTAATAGCTAGTACATTTACCATTGGTACATACCTTTTAGTTTAAGTGAATGACAATGATTTCAGACATTGTCGTTCTTCAAAACGTATATTGTTGAAGATGTATTTTTTTCTTTTTGTTCTTAGGTTGGGGTTGCTGAAATGAAAGTTGCAATCGAAAGGACAGGTGGCCTTGTTGTTCTATCCGAAAGTTTTGGTCATTCTGCATTCAAAGACTCTTTCAAGCGTGTCTTTGAGGGCGGGGAACAGTCTCTTGGCCTATGTTTTAAGTTGGTTCTTGTACCACACCTAGGCTTCTTGTTCATGTTCAACTTTTTAAATTTACTTTTCTCTTCTCTTATCTATAGTGCTGATAATAACCATATAGTTCTGTTCTTAATTGGTGAATTTACAATTTTATTCCATTTCAAATTGTCATTATCATGTTTTTTGAATTCTACACATGCCAACTTCTCATAGCTTATTTTTCACATGATTCTGCACTGGGTGTTGCTACATTTGGAGAATATAAAATTTTGACCTAGCTTGCTGACTTATCAAATTACAAAAAGTTGCATAGATGAAAATTATTAAACTGGTGTTCTATGTTGGTATTGTTCTTTTGGCTTAATAGGTTTTCCTAATTGTTGCAAATGTGAATGCTTACATTGGACGAAGTAATGTAGCTGTGTAAGTATTATGATGCGGCAATGGGAACATCCTTGCTGTTTTATATTAAATTCCTATTTTCAATTTAATTCTAAATGGCCTAAAGAAGCCCATGGTTGTAGTTGATAAAATAATTATTTGAAGCTATTAGAGCCTAAAGAGGAGATGATGGTAGATAGGATTGATTGGAGGAACATTCATGCATACAATGCAAATGATTCTGTCTTGGGTTTCACAACCGACCCCAAAAGTATCGGGATTGAGGCTTGTTGGTTTGGTTATGAATTTTAAACTCATTGTAAGCTCTTTGTTTTTTAGTGGCATGCTTGAGATCAATTGTTCGAAAGACATCAAGGTTCAGGGGATCATTGGACCTTGCTCATCTCTGCAGAAGGTTGGGCCATTTAACCATCTAGCCATTTTACTTACTCATCTGTAAATTGAATCTACTTATATTTATGGATATTTAAGCTGGTTAAGATGATTGTTGCAGAAAGGAACTAATGTCTCTGACACGGTCATTGGGGAGGGTAACACTACAACATGGAAAATGTGTGGCCTTGACAAGAGTACTTGCTTGACAGTTTTATTTGATCTTTCATCAACCGATGAATCAAGTGTTCGTGGAACTATGAATCCACAACTGTATTTGCAGTTTCTTATGGGGTTTGCTACATAAACTCCTCAAAAGGCTCTGTTTTATTTACATTAGCATTAATATGCTTGATTTATTTCTTTAATTTGTTCCTTTTGTAATTTGGTAAGCCTTTTTAAGGTTTGCACCTATGTGTCTCATTAGTGCTAGACTATAAAAGCAACTTAGGACCTTTTAGACAAGACACATCTGATCAAACATGCACTTGATGTGTCTAGGCATGCTTTTTATAGGGTGGTAGGTGCAAATAAAAGAAAAACAGCTTTCATGATTGAAGTTCTCTCTATTTTTAATTTTTTCATTAGCTCTACTGTTTATGGTTAAAAAATGGGACAATTTCGAACTTTCTACTTCTCAATGTTTTAGTGTTCAACCCAAACATGGGATATATAAGGAAATCATGCTTATTACCAAATAAAGGAAAACGTTGCATGCTTTTTTATATAGACTGGACTATCTCTAGAGTTTAATTATAAGAATTATATACCGTAAGATTGTTTTACACACACAGAAACTAATACACACATGCAAGAAGACTTATCATGGCATATTACTTTTAGATGAGACATGAGAGTTTTTTTGTGCCTTGCTCCTCGGGCAATTTTCATGCGCCTATTCTCCCCTGCTCGTTTGACTACAATGCGTTTGATTGTGATGTTTATTTAATTGCAGTTATCAAGATCCTGAAGGTAAAACAATGCTTCGAGTCACGACTGTGACAAGAAGATGGGTAGACAGTGCTATTAGTTCTGAGGTTAGCGCAGATTCTCTCATTTTTGTTGATGCAGGATCTACTAGTAATATTTTAATTTATTATTTTAGTCTTTATCCTTCTTTTGTTTGTTGTTTCACTGTAAACCACACCATTTGTACACTTGTTTAACTAATTGTCTAAAACAACTAAGTATATCCCATTCTCCATTGTATCATTATGTTTCATTAGTTGGTCATGTGTAAGGGTTGTTTTCCCCTGTTCCTTTATTTGTTGTTGAGGGTTTGGGGGAGGGTTGAAGTCATTGCCATGTGTCTTGGTCTGTATATTTGGTTCATTCTGTTTTTTGGAAATTTTATTGGAATTAGTTCATGCTAACTGTCAAATATCTCCTTTGAGTCCTTTCTAGGAATTAATACAAGGTTTCGATCAAGAGACTGCTGCCGTTGTAATGGCAAGAATAACTTCTCTCAAAATGGAGACAGAGGTAATTTAAGATATCGTTATTCAGTTGTCGAGTTTTGTTTTATTTCTTGTTTGGATGTATTCACTGTCAGCTATAATATATGTAGCTGTTACCTTCTGCCTAGTTCATTAATATATATATATATATGTCTGATATCTTCTGGCTATAATTATCTCCCCAGTTACTATCTATTCATATTATGGATAAGGACTTCCTTTTAATGCTTTGCCCTAGTGTTTAGTGGTTGTCCCTACTTGCTTTTTTCCTAGCCCCTGACCTCTCCCCTTGTTATATCTTCTATCTGTTGTTTGTTGGCTCCTTGTCAATTTAATAACACTTTTAATTGTTCCTTGTGAGCACTTATTAATTATTATGGATTTTGTTTCACTTAGGAGGGATTTGATGCAACAACGTGGTTAGATCGGAATCTCATTCGTCTTTGTACCAAATTTGGCAACTACCGGAAGGACGATCCATCATCTTTCACATTGAACCCTTGCTTTTCTTTGTTTCCTCAATTTATGTTTAATCTACGGCGGTCACAATTTGTACAGGTATCTGTTTCTTTTTTCCCCTTCTAATTTCCAGTCTTTTTATGATATTTAATCAACCTCTATATATGAGTTTTTCTTTCCCCACTCCTTTTGTGTGGCAGGTTTTTAACAACAGTCCAGATGAAACTGCTTATTTTCGCATTATATTAAACAGGGAAAATATTACTAATACAGCTGTTATGGTTCAACCATCTCTAATATCATATACATTCAGCTCACCGCCCCAACCAGCATTATTGGATGTGGCTTCCATTTCAGCTGATCATATTCTCTTGCTAGATTCATATTTTAGTATTGTTGTTTTCCATGGTATAACAATAGCACAGTGGCGCAACATGGGTTACCAGAATCAACCTGAACATCAGGCATGTATGCTCAGACTAAATGTAGAGCTGAATGTAAAGGTTTCTTTATTATCATAATCATTCGTTCAAAATGTGCAAAAATGGCTTTTCAGTAGAGATCCCAGAGCTCAGGCTTATGTTTACATTAATATAATAAATGTCTGATCACTTGAGTTTGAGATAAGCTGGAGCCGTAGTTCTCTAAGAAAGAAATAATGATATTATTCTTATATTGATGTGCTATTCCCGCTAGAATTTTATCCTAAACTACTAACTGAAGAAAATCCCTTGTACCATCACTCTTTAGCTTTAAAATGGAAACTACAAAGTTCAGCATGATGTTATTTGCTGAGATATTGTGAATATTGTGCTTTTATTATAAAACAGAGTATGTTTTGTAGGGAAAGTCTGGTGCATGGTTGTCACTTTTCTTTTCCACAATTGTTTTATTTTTTAATCTCTGAGATACAACAATCAGGTTTTTGGAAATATGGCTGTTCTTTGGTGAAGTCTTTAATAAGCTTAAGGTCCATAGTTTACTACCCAATTTTAAAGTTCCTGTAGTCTATGATTCTGTTTTCTAAAGCTATAGTTTTCAACAGGCATTTGCACTACTTTTGGATGCACCCCGGGTTGATGCCCAAATTATTATTCAGGAACGCTTCCCTGTCCCAAGATTGGTTGTATGTGATCAGCATAGTTCCAGGTGAGCAAATTTCCTTAATATTGATTCTTTTCAGAGATATAATATGTATCCGTACCCTTGTGAATTCTATCGTTTTTAAATAGATGCTGCAATAAAGTATCACTTATTCTTGAATATCTGAATTATGTTGAACTTTTGCATATCAATCTTTAAGAAAACCAAGTACAATTTCTGAATTACATCTGTGAACTGTGTGCACCAAATTCTTCTCTGGGTTTAGCTTTGGTAACTTTTCTCCTTGCTATGATGTGATCACTATTCTATTCATCTCTACCTTTTCCCATCAGTCTGATGTAAAAAAATGACTGTGATCCTCCAAGTTTTTAATTTTATTTTCTTGGAATAACATAACTGAACGGCTAATTTTTGTTATCTTTTGCAGGCAAGATTTTTATTGGCGAAGTTGAATCCATCAGCCACATACAATAGTGCCGCCGATATAGCACCTGGATCAGATATAATCTTTACAGATGATGTAAGCTTACGAGTGTTCTGCGAGCATCTTCAGATATTAGCCGTGCAGTCTTGATTTGTAGAAAACTAGTTGAAAGTCTCAGGTATTCCGAAAAATTCCATCGTTGTGAGTTCTATATTCACTCTCACATCCTCTTTACCCTTTGGTTCTTTTCCTTTCCATCAATCACATGAAGCGGTTTTGAAAAAGAAACAATTAATAAGAATAGCACCGTGTCATTCTGTGGAGCTTGCTGGGAATGTGTTCGCATTCGTGAACGGATATGGTAATCGATGCAACGAAGAGGTGAGCCGAGTCAAAAGTTTGAGTTTTTTAGGGAAAGGAAGGGGGTATGGTCGAGGATGTATCTGTGAGGATCCCTGTTTCAGTACCAGCAGTGTCAATTAGGGTTCGTTTGTATTGAGGACTGGGATTCAGGTCATATATACACCCATTAGGGTTAAAGACTTCATTCTTAGGGATAATTGTTTGATAGAGTTTTTTTGTAGATCCAATCGCTTCTGCACTGTTATGGAATTTTTGCCTTCGGGTTTTGCTGATCTCACTGGCGCTAAACTAATAGAGCTGTTTGGTATGGCTCCAAATTGGAAAACTGCAGCGTTTTTTTAACTGATGCTAAAAGGGGAGCGATTACACTGAATCTCCAAATAAGTTGGTAAATTTCATTTTTCACCCCTCATATCTTTCAAGAGAATTATCTACTATTTGGTGTAAATATGATTTTATTATTATTTACTATAAATGATATTAATGTCTTTAATTGATTTAAATGCCATTTATTTTTTTAGTATTATTTAATAATATAACCTGAATATTTTTTAGTTACTTACCGATTGATTTATTGGTCGACTAGTTTAGATCGAATATTGTAGAATTTATTATAGAGTGATACTTTCAAACAAGTTTGTTTCATTTGAACCTTTGATATTGCTTGAGGGATCTAGTGTTTATTCTTATTCACCACTTGATTGTTAGTTAATTTAATTATTTCTAATAATTTACTTTTAATGTAATGAAGAATTAATATATTTTATTACCGTCTATTAACATTAATATAATCTTTATTGTATTATTTAGTATAAATACGGTTTTGATACCATTTCATTTTATTACATAAATAGTGAGACTTAACCTAATGTAATGTCCATTTTGATAATTTTGTATCTTCATTTTACAGCTACTGCAGATTTTAATTGAACCGTTACAATATTTACTTCCATTGTTATGGCTGTTTTTAATTTTGTTAGAGGCATTCTCACTGTCTGTCCAATGGACAAATAAAGTCAAGGTTCCTTTTGATGGATGGTGAGACTAAAAACACCCGTTGTTGTGAGATTATTTACTATAGCGGTGAGACTAAATTCAATAGTGGTACATGTATATTTCAAAACAAATTATTTTACATATTTGATATATTTTAGAATTAAAAACTTAAAATTATTCTCTCAAGAACATTAGCTTAAGTGTTAAAAGTTCGTTGTTAATATGATATTTTTACGTATGCTTAACTGATGATATGCTACAAATTAGGTCACCAAAATGATGTCATGACCTATTTCACATTACTCAATGATATTGATAAGTATTGTCAAAAGATAAATTCTAACCAATACGATATTGATAACTCCCTAAAATGAAGTATTTGATGTCTTTTAACTTATGTTGTTTTGACTTGTGTTGTTTTGGTGTAAATATTTATGTTTGTCATCAGATTGCATTATGCATTGCATGTAATAAAGTGAGTCGTATTTTATGTATTTTGTGGCGACAATAGTGTTTGCAAGATGCAAGATTTTTTACCCTAAATACTCGATATTATTCTTATAAGGTCGATGTAGGATATCTCATCTTGTCTTCGTACAAAAAGACCAAGTGAATATACTACGTTCAATGTCGTTGGATTTTTCTGTGACAAAAAATGTTGGTTTTGTATTTTAAGAAGATGATGTCGTGATTTGATCACGCCAAGGATGACTACACATGAAAAATAAGGGCAAGATTTTGATGTTTCAAGAAAGGGTAGTGTCAAGGTTGTCATTTGATGTTGGTGACGAATGATTTTGAGTGAAAATCAAGAGATTACAGTTTTATATTGGGGACGGGATATGAAAAGTCTAATATCATAACTTGTCAAACATCTATAACTTTGATTCTCAAAAGAACATTTCATTAGATGACCTTTCAAAGATCTTTCATGTTTTAAAATGTGTTTCATTATTCATAGGTAATGTTTATTCGTCGAGTGTAAGCATCAAACAATTTTGAAATATTTAAACTAAAATAAAAAACGAAAACTACGTTCAACTAAGATGAAATATTTTTTTATGTAGGTACAAAAAAATTTTTTTGTGTTGACTGGTGAGTGATTCAATGATCATCTTTCCAATATTCCCACCATTCATTAAATATCAAGACACCTAATTCAATCAAATTTTGGTATCTGTGTCTCCATGCTTAACAATTCTTGGTGATATGTCTTGAGCTTCTCCTTGGGGGATTATCGTAAGGATGATAGTGTTTATTATTTCAAATTATTTATTGTTAAATTTTTGGATCTTCATTTTCATAATATTGTCAGGAAAGTTGATTTACACATTTCCAATTGACTTTTCATCAATTAACTTCTTTAATAGATCCTCAAAGTATCGTTGCCTTCCTGGTAAAATATTCATGCACAAAAAGGGAATTTTTAAATAAATAATAATATTTAAAAGAAACTCAAACGGTAACAAATCATTAAAAATAATTTAAAACTCATCCAACTGATACGGCGAGTTTTAATAAACGAAAGAGAAAAAGTTAAAATCTCTTAATGTCATTGGAAGTGTTGTGTCCATAATCACGAATTGTTGGAAGATGACCAAGTAAGTTTGCTTCCGGCATCACGGAAAATTCAGGAAGCCGAGCTCGATATGTTGTGTCACTTAGAGGGTATAGAAGAGTTCGAACATCAGTGGAATCACTTCGTTGACCAGTTTGGACTTGCCTCTGATAAGCACGTAGCTTTGTTATTTTCGTATCGAGCATCATGGTCACTTTCTTACATCCAAGGTTGCTTTCTTGCTCGTTCAATGACACCCGAGTTTTGTCAGTCTTTGGATGCATTTTTTGGACGAATCCCGAGTGGACAGACATGTTTACAATTATTCTTCGAGCAGGTTGGTTTGGAATGTAAGAAAAGTTGTCCCTGTTCATTAAATCTTGTATATTCCGAACAGCATTTTAACCATTTGCTTTTGGCAGGTTGGGATTGCCGCTGATTTAAGAAACCAAAGCCGAGAATCGTCGAATACATGCATGTCAAGACACGCTTTCCGATCGAACAAAACGCAAGAAGTATTCTTACACCATATGCATTCAATGCATTACAGCATGAAATCGTGCTGTCGATGCAATGTGCGGCAACTGAAATGGCGAACGGATCATATCTCGTGCAACACGAAGAAAATGGATAGTGAATATCTTGTCTTTTGGGTTTCACAAGATGAGCAAATACACTGCTCATGTAAGGAATTCGAACATTGGGGAATTTTGTGCAGGCTGTCTTGGAGCACTTACAATGAAAAACTATTTTGAAATTCTGGAAAAGTATGTAAAGTTGAGATGGTGACTGGAGAGTTCATTGGGAAGATCGAAGTGACCAATGTAACAGTGATGCCTTTCATTCTTTAGCTACGACTCTGTTGACTGAATCACTGCTTACAAAGGAACGTTTCAACCACGTTCGTCAAGAACTTATCGTACTCCTCGACCATGTCTAACGATTTTGCTTCAAATACAAAAGCTAACTACATCAGTGAAAAATAGGTTTCCTGACATATAATCGCAGTTGATGAGAATTGCAAGATTGACCCACCAAACTTTACTAAAGCTTACGTAAAACTACTCAGAAAATGAGAATTGCAAGATGAATTCTCACAAGTGATAACAATGGCATAATCCAAACAAGGAAATTGAGTAGCTTAAATACCATATGCACAGAATTGGATGATGCTCCAATTAATTGCTTCTGGCCCATATTGGACAGATTAATATGAAAATTTGATCCTTATAAGTACCAGTCAAATACATGAAAACCTTCATCTACAAAAAAACCCTCAGTCCAATACGTCCAAATAACATAGTCAACTACAACACTAAAAAACAAGCAAAAATATTCAAGAGAGCGAGATTTGAAGCCAAGCATCAATGGACTTTTTGTTTACCCTCTTCCGCCATCCTTCGACGTATCTCATGAGCAGTATTGAAAATGCCGAGGGTGGGTTGGTTGCATACAAAGCACTTCTTATTTTTCGCATGATGCTGAACAAACCAGACAACAAAAGATGCATTTTGGTTAGTTTATTTTTGAAAGAACTAAAAACTATTGACCAAACCAGATTAGGAAATCAAACTCATTTCCAGTTCAACCAATTGACTTGACCAGTTTTAGAATAGTTCAATATAACTCATAACTAATAAGAAAATGTATTCGACTTGATAAAACTATTTATATATAAAATTCAACCTAAAAAATTTAGACCACATAACAATAATAAGACGTTTAAGAAAAAGAGAAAAGATCTACATAGAAGGAAATAAGGAGGTACCTTTAAAGCACAGTGCTCGCAGAAGTAGTGCTTGCATTTAGTAACAACAGGATCAACAAATGGCTGCCGGCAAATAAAACAAGCAAAGGGCAACGAATCTTCATCATCGTCGTCACTCTGAGCTACCCCTGCCTCATCATCATCATCTCCACCCATTGCAAGATTTCTTTTCCTTGCTTTCTCTGCTTCTTCCCAAACCTTCTCTAACTGCCATCCGGACTTATAATCTCCACGGTCATGCATGAATTTACATGAATCTCCGTAACCGCAATAACCGGTTTCTTTGTAGTCTTTACAGATGTCAGGTTGATAATCAAACCTTGCTGAAACCCTAATGTGGGCAGAAGCCCTAAGAGGTCCGTGTGAGCCACCAGCTTTCTCACTGGCAACAGTTTGTTCTCTTCGAAACCCGGCTTTATGATCCACATAGCCATGCATTCCAGTGTACAATTTTTCTCCCCCGGAGCTTGTGTTTTCCCCCTTCAAAGCCTCCTCTGCTCTTTTAAGAACTTTCTCACGTATAGCTCGTGCATCTTTTGTGAACTCCGTCTCGGTTTCTAATATTGCCGTGGCTCTGCTATCATTTTGAATTTGTATTTCCTTCGAAGATTCGAATTGAAAAATTGGTTTGTCAGGTTCTGTATTTGATTCAGCAGCAGTAGTCTTGGAGGATCTAGTTGAGAAGTATAACTTATTGTCAGCCTTTGAGGTCTTTATCTGATTTTGCAACAGAGATGAGCAATTTCTGGAGTCTTCATCTTCATCCTCGTTTATTGTCCTTTTCCTTATGTTTTTTACTTTTGTTGGCTTCCTAAAGAAATTGCAGACTGAAAAATAAAGAGTTGGCTAATGGATCTGTAGTAAGATTGTTTGTAAGTAAATATCCATCTATATCTTTAGACATGATAAAAGAAGGGACAAAATTTACCTTGTTCAGATTGTTGAGGTTCTTTTCCGGGAAGCTGGAGCTCACTTGAATCTGCCATCTTAACAGACAAAAGAGCAAAGGCTTATAGGTTCCATGCCTCAACAAATATGAACTTTAACTCGCACAGAATGCTGCTTCAATAACTTGAAAGAAGGATTTATATAAAATCAGTAAAAATGCCTATTACAATTAACTAAAGCCAAAGAATCATAGATGATCGACAAACTAATTGATGCAGCAACCAAATTTCTACAGATATGATAAAGTTCTCTTTCATGGAAAGGCTAAATGCTCAATTTCGGTTAGAATGGGTTAAAAATTGAGAAGCAAGAGGATCTAAACAATGGAGTTAAGGAAAAACCCAAAACCCCAACTAGTTTTGCAAAGCTTTCAATTGTGTTTTCTTATTTGGTTTTTGTCCAACTTAAACCTACACAACACCTAGAACATCATCATTCCACGTATTAATTTTAATCAAAATGTTTTGATTTATTCCAACACCAAAATCTTGAACCTAATCAAGAAAATTTCAGCAAATCTTCAAAAAGATATTAAAATCAATACATACATTGAATACTCAAAAGATCATAGCACTTCTTAAAATATTACGAACCTATTCAAGATTATAACATCGTTAACATGAACAATGATTGTAAGTTTGAAATTTATCAACATAAAACTTACAACGAAAAAACTTTAAAAAAGGAGAAGCAAAAATAACAACTAATGAAAAAAATGAAACGTGGAATTTTATACCCAAATTCCGAAATCGAAAAATCAACAAAAATATAAAATCTACGAAAACGCACAAAACCTAAAGTGATATCAAACAATACTTGAAAACTAGAAAACCTAAATTTGAAATTAAGGAGCGGAGGGTTTGAACCGAAAGAGCACAATTTCTACACACCTTTTTTTAATGGAGAGGACAAGGAAACCAATTCATAGGCCGGCGTTGATAAGCGGCGCTGGTGAGGAGAAATCGGAGCGACACGGCGGAGGGAAAAAGGCAAAGAAGTATTGTAGCCTGAGACAGAGGGCAGTAACGACGCTCGCGGTGTCTACTATATCGTGGATTAGAGATTGTATCAAAATTCAAAACTATTGTGTTACGTATTTTGAGAAAGAATTAGTGTTGTATTTGTACGTTTAATATGATATTTATACAAGTGAGTTTCTAGGCCTGGGCCTGAGCCACGTCCGAAATAGGGGTAAATTACTTAGTTAGTCACCTACTTATTATTTAGTTTTATTGTGATCATCCAACTATTATTTATTTTAAATCATACATAACATTACGTTTTGGTTCTGTTTTAATCACTGTCTTTAAAGTGTTAGCGATGATATTAACAAGACATCATAAGATAATGTCACATTAGGATTAAATAATAATTAAAAATGTCATGTTAGCATCAATGCTAATTTTTTAACGGTATGTGATCAAAATAAAATCAAACGTAAAGCTAGGTATGCTTTTGAAAGAAAAAATAATAGTTGAGTGACCAAAACATAATTAAATATAGGTGAGTGACCAGATATATAACTTACCCTAAATAAATATATGTAAGAATTATATTAAGAAAAGTAGATTGCTCCAATTTATATATTTATATTGGCTCAGTATAGCTCGTGCATACACCGTTAGGGCTGGTCGTCGTCTCAGCCGGATTGGGTGGCCATTGCCTTCTCGACCAAGCTTCAGATTCTCAGTGTATGAATTGAATGGTAAATGGTGCTTTGAAACTGTATTTTCATGTCAAATTCTTATGCTTTTGTTACCATCAACAATGCTTGCTGGATAGTTTAATAGAAACCATTGGTGTAATCAATCCAAGCCAAACTCAAATTCAAACTCAACTTGTAAAAATCTCTATTCGTATTCAGTTTCACTTTTATGATCAGACTCAATTTTGTTCGATTCCCAAGCTCGATTATTTATGGATACAGCCGTTGTTTTACAGTTTCGACTCTATTGTCACTGAAATATCACATTCTTAACTGCAACAAATGTGATATGAACAATATGTATTCATGCAACAGCAGTTTAAATCCCTGCTCGGAACTCTAAATGTCGAAGCACATGGATACACAGTTTAGAACAGCCCAAGAATGAATGAAATCAAAGTGAAGAACATACACCATAAACATACAAGCATTAACACCAAACTCGACAGAATTCTACAATGAGAGATGTCACCAGCACCCGGAGAGCCGCACTGATGAAGCAGTTACAAAGGATCGTGATGCATGAAACAGGAACTTTGGCTGCTGCTTGTGAGATCATCCGGTGAATGGTTCTTGGTACGCGAAGTTTTCTAAGTATCTACATGATTTCGATGGGAAAGGGTTTTGGAAAGCAGTCCCTGCTTTCATGCCGGAAAAGAGTCGCTTATCTTGCTTTTCTCCCAACTCCAATCCAATGTGAGGTGCATTATTGGTATGACGTATGAACGAAACCGGCTCGGTTTCCTTTCATGAGTCAATCTAACTGTCGTTGTTCCTTCAGCTAAGCCGGAAGCACATTAAATTCGCATTCCCAACGTCCATTTATGCAGCTTGTTATGGTGTCTCCCACTAAATCTTCAAAGATGGCTTCACCAATCTCAAGACCAATACAACCAGTGTCAAGTTGAAGATCCATCCTTGTTCCTGACTTAGCCAAGTCTTTTCTGATTATCAGGTCCAAAGTACAAGGCACCGACATCGGGAGCAAATGCCGATAAACTCCTTTCATGACCTCTTGAATGGTATTATTCATGTCTGGGAGAGGACAGATTTTGGGTTTAACAAATGAAATTCCAGGGGAATCGAAATAGTGCCTACAAAACTCTACGAGAACTTCATTAATGCAATCGAAGAGCAGAGTTTGGTCCGGAAAAAGTTGGTTGGGCAAGTATTCGACCTCATCAAGCAACAATGGGTCGATAAGCACGTCAGAAGAAAATGAACGGATGTAGAGTTCATCCCAGTTGAAACTCGAGGCTACCAGCAGCACCTTTATGTTCTCAAATATCGATTCCTTATCATCCATACAAGCTTTAATACGATTACTCTGATCTGTGGCCAAAGAGTTATGTTCTTCGAATCGAATTCTTAGAGGTTGCATGGATGTTTCACCTGAAGATTGGTTGGAATTAAAAAAATGTGGCACGACAAAGTTGAAAGCAAACTTCTTATGTAAAATAAACAAAAGATTCTCTCATTTGCCTACCGGAAGAATATTTTATGCTTGCAGGGCTGATAAGATCATCTGTGAATATAGGCTTAAGAACAGATATTGGACTTGACCACTCCTGTATATCAGCAAAACACTCGATACATTCAACCTTTTTCATGATCGATGTGTTCGATGGAGACGCTAATGGAGAAGAAGCATCCAAGATCTTGCTTTCTTCATGAACCATCATTTCAGTTGCTTCAACACTCGCAGATTCTGCATAAATTTTATGAAGGTTAGACATGAATAAAGCTCGATATTCATGATTGTCATCATTGATTAAACAAATGAAAACTTGAACCTTCGGAACTCATTTTATCTTTCGTAGAACAAAAAACTGGATCCTGTTTGTCATTACTCTCACTAGTGTCAAGGTTGTCTGGAATTGCATTATCACCTTCGACTTCATTACAAGTTTTGTAGTCACAACGGCAAAGCCGGCTATCAGTCTTCTCTTCCATTGGACTTGGATTGCTGACAAGGCTGACTTGATTGTTTTCACTCTCCTTCTGAGATTTTTTCGAACCTGCAAATATCGTCTGTGCAGTCATAAAACTAGACTCCAAGTACTGGCCAGGGCTGCCAACAGGGGATGAGTAATACTCGGGAAGAGAATGAATCCCATCTAAGGTTTTCGGAACCTGTGTACCTGAAAGATCCACATTTTCATCCCCATTTGCTAGCAGCTCAGAAAGATGATTCTTTCCCTCGATATAGATCGAGACCCTTCGCCTGGACAAATCAGTAGTCTCATATTCAGTACCAAGTTCGGTAAATCTTTCAGATATACCATCTCTGGGGATTCTATGTTGATCTCTACCCATGGCATGTTTCAGCTTTCTTTTTATTTCAGCAAGAAAAAAGTGGGAACCAACTTTCTCATTCGGCTCCCAATGTCCGATGATATACCGAGATTCAGAAGATGAGCTGGTGCTGCTTCCAGTATCAGGAGTTTGCAAGCTTGTTGGCCCAGGCTTCAAAATTACAATTTTATTTGAAGCTTGAGAAGCCTTATTTCCATCCGCAAGTTCTCTTTCCTGAGACTTCGATTTTCTTCCAAAGAAATTACGGTGTTTTCTATTAACAGGCTCATTGTGTTGCCTTAAATAGACATATTCGACGTCCAAACAGTTTGTTTTGGCAACCAGCTTCGACTCTTCATCCTTTAAATGAGCATCTGGCGAGTCTTGAACATATTTGAACAACAATGAGTTTGGATCTTGTAAAAGCTTCAAAAACAATTCCTCATCTAAACTCGAAATCTGTAGTGCATCCATGACTTCTTTCCAGGCTTGGACTTTCCCATCTTCTGTAAGTTGGTCCCCATTAAGAAGCTTGCGACTCACTAAGAACTTGATTGCCTCGCTCAATCTTTCTTCTAAACCATAGCTCTTCGAGTGTCCCTCAAGCTGGACATGGTTCCCACAATTGATGTTTTTCTGATGGACTTTTTTCAAAGAACTCTTTCATTAGATTGTCGATATCGGGATCGATTGTTGTTTGTTGCTCTGGTTTATGCTGACAAGATCCTTCAGATACCACTTTCTCGGCAACATCCATATCAAGATTGTTACCGGAACTTTTCTTGCAAGTTTTGTTTTTTCTTTTCCGAGTCTTCCTTCCATCATCTCCTTCTTCGGATTCGAAATGTTTTACTTCAACTTCAGTATTATTTGCCTCTTTCTTTGCCACCTTCCCTCCGGTCATTTCTTCTTCTAGGAGTCTTTTCATGCTCGGTTTACATTCATCAATTGCTGCTGTTTCCTCTTCACCATCCTGAAAATAAAAGTAAAATACAAAAGAAAATTTTTCTCTATTGATTATTATCTTATACTCATCTGCCCATCTAATTAACAAGGATACTTTCGAGTTTTCGAATCTTACGAGAGGTCTGGGACAAGTTTCGACAGAGCTAGTCAACATAAGTTTATCTCCTGCATTTCCCACACCTGAAAAATTGAAGAGAAAATGCAGAGCATTAAGGGAAACTCTCGTTTGTATAAATGAAGTATATTGCCTAGAACCGATAACACGACATAAAAGAATTCCAATCCAAAAGACCATTTAAACACTTCACAACTTCAAATAGAGTTTGAACCATCACCACACAAATGCTTGAAAGTAACTTAAAGAACTTACAAACGGCATTTCTGTTCCCGCGCCTTCTAATGGAAAGCAGTCTCTGAGTTGATCGACTATGGCGGAAGTCAAGCATACTAATCAAACCCCACATACAACCTGACTGATCCTTTCCATGCCGCAGAGGACATCCATTTGATCTTTTGGCCATGATTAATGACCTTTTTGTTTGAGAATATAACTCTTTGATAATCCAAACTTTACGGTTGAAAGGTGGCTTGGAATCTGATAAAAATCATAGAAGAGACACATAAGTTGTTAAATCTTCACCTATTTTATAAAACAAAAGATATGAGCAGGCGAGACAAAAGCCATCTTCATCATAGAATTTGCCAAGAGCTGTTTTGAAGAAAATACAAAAGGCATTGATATGTTGATACCAGAAGTGAAGATCAATAGATTATGTCAGAACTCATGAAATTGCACAAACATTTGATATTCACTGATTCAAACACAGATGAAGAATAAGGAAATAGGTAGAAACTGAGTGGTTCCCTTATTTAGCATTCACTCGAATACCAGCATCGGCAAAGAGCGCAATCAAATTTTCCTTATTTCCCAGCAAGGGACTACTGTTTAACCATACAACCATTATTAAGAATCTACATCTAACGCGTTCGAGACTCAAATACCAGCATCTGCAACTGGTTCACTTATTTCGCGGCTAACAACTAAGGGTTTAGCTAGTTGGTTCACAGAGCTGTTCATAAAAGCTGACATTTAACAAGTTTGAGACTCAACTTCTGAATCTGCAACTGATTCCCTTCTTTCCCCACGACTAAGAAAGGCTTAGCCTAATCCGAATTTGATACCGCCATGAGAGATGAGGACATTAAAGATGATGATGAAGGACCAGACATTTTCCTTTGATAGTCAGCTTCTAGATATCATCAACTCTTAATGACAAAACCTTTATGATACACATATGGCTCTCATCTCCCTTATTGACCGCCTCCTAGTCCAGCAGTGTCACATAAACTCTTACCTGAAATCTGAATCTTAATCCTACAACTCTAAAGTTATAATTCCTACATTTATTATCCTTCTCCTATCCCTAGATAACAACATCCCATGTACCTAAAAGCAAGTTTTATTTGAACAAAGGGTTCTGGCAATCATTTTTTAAAAATAACATCAATAGATTCAAATCTCCTTCCTCTATAATTAGAAAGTTGATTGAATTGATGAAGGAAGAAGATGAAGAAATGCATGTACCTGAAACAAAGAGTTTCCTAGAAACTAGATGCAGTCAAAATGTAGCTGTATTATGTTACAATTGAAGGCAAAAAAATTCCAATTTCAACAATTGAAGTTTTCTCAAGCAACTTGAACCACAAGTTCCATAGTCAAAAGCTTTCTTCGGATGCCAAAGGAATCAAAGGTTTCTTTTTTCTCCCACAAGCCTTAACCAGCGGCTCAAATTCCTGAACAACAAACTCAGAGGAATAGTTTTTTTTCTTCTTTGGATCTTCACTTAAACTAAAAGAACAATTGCATTTGAAGATTCCAGATTGATTAACCCTCAAGAATTCTCACTTCCCAGCTCTTATGTCACAAAACAACATGCTTTTTTCCTTGAAACTCCTCGAAGATGTGCCTTTACATGGCCTAAAGTTGGATCGGGAATATCAACAAGCACAAAGTAAACATCATATACATATACGTATACGTATACATATATACGTACACATACACGTACACATACACGTACACGTACACGTACACGTACACGTACACGTACACGTACACGTATACACATATATAACCAAAGTACAGAATTCAAAGTCCTGAAATGACATAACAGTTTGCTTTAACCATTTTCAGTAAAAGGGCACTCCGTGAATGCCATATCTTAAACACCATGAAACAAACAAATTCCCACTTCTTCCATGGATAACACAACCAAGAATCAAGCTTTTCCAAAAACAACAAAATCAGTTCTTCTCTCGATGGAAAAACAAATCAAGACAAGGGAAGTACGGAGATCCTATTTTCAAGCTCTCACCATGAAAAAAACAAAAGGAAGTGCTTCAAAAATAAAGGATTTTAATGGGGATAGCATCTTTCGACAATGACAAAAAGAAGAGAAGAAAGCAAAGAACACGCTTTATCTGGCACCGACCCATGATTCATTGTGAAGAAAAAGGGGAACGCATCAGAGACTGGGAAAAAGGGGAGAAAAAGGAATTAAAGGCGTGGAAAATGGAAGAAAAATGGGAAAGTATAAGGAAAAGAAAAGGAAGCTTAAGTTTAAGAGCATGAAGAGCAGAGCTTGAAGAGCAGAGCATAGAAGAATAATAAGTCTTATAGTAGGAAAACAATACGTAACAGTTGGGGTTTGTGTTTTGAAGGATTTGGACCCCACTTTGTTATAAATTACACGTGTATAGCCTTGGGTTATTTGATAAATAGTTAGTATTAATTTAAATATTTATAAAATTTTAATTTATTTTTACGGATTAAGATAATGTAAATGGATAATAATAGAATTGGTTTTGAATATTAAGTTTTTTATATTTATTATTATGTTTACGTGCATAATGCATTTAATATAGGGTTTAGGGTAAATTATCTCAAATGTCCCTAAAATTTAAGGTTTATATTGAATTTATTATTAAATTGTAATACGTTTTAATTTTAATACTAAATTTTAATTTTAATCCCGAAAATTATGACATGCTACATGATATTAAAACATAATATATGAGAGGGAATCATCAACAAAATTAAGAAAATATTGTGACCAAGAAAAAGAATAAGAAAAATAAGGTTAGTAGAAAATTATTCACGGATCTGTAACATTTGTTCGTCACATGAGAATAACAAGTTTCATGAACGAGTTTCATAAAATATTTTTTTAATAAAACTCGTTATGTTCATACGACGAGTCCCAATAAAAAATATTTTTATAGAACTTATTATACCCTCGTGATAAGTTCTTAATCATTGTAACAAATATCGTAGAACCTTAACTAATTTCTCATCAACTGCATATCTCAAAATAATTTTGACATGAGAATTATTCTACTAAATTTACCTGAATCATCGTGGATGAACCATTTTCACGATTAAGGTAAGGTAAATGGACAATAATAAAACAAATTAGCTCAAATATTTTTAAAATTTAAAATTTATATCGATTTTATTATTAAATCTTAATTTATTTTATTTTTACTTTAACATAGACATCATGAATCATGACATGCTACAAGCTATTATGAGAAAATATATGAAAGGGAATTATTAGGAATGGATTGAAGATGGTTAGTGAGGGCAGTTTGTTGGCATAAAGGGTGAATTACTTTGATGGATTAATATTTATATTAAATTTAGGATCATTTTAAATATTGCAAATGAAAGTATATTATTTAATTTGAATATTAGTAGGATAATTACTCTTTGAATATATCAATTTAAAATGGTATTTATTATCTTTTCAACTTTAAATATTAAAGATATTTATATACTTTTGAATATTTCAAATTAAAATAATATTTTTTTAAGTTTGAATAATGAAAGGAATGTATATTTATTTAATATTTTAAATTTAAAAAATATTATTATATATTTAAATTTAGATATTAAAATATATCTAGTTGGAATAAAATTCTCTTGAAAATCTCTTATAAATATTGAGAAAACATGTTAGGTTTTTGACATCTCAGAATTCAAGAAATTTTCTTTTCTTGAAAAAATATTTTCTTTTCTTCTCAAAATTTATTCTTTTTTTTCCTTAGTTTTCCGGTGATAGTCGAAGGCAAGGATAGTTCTCCATATTGTGGTTCATGAAAATCATCAAGTTTAGGGATGGAAAACGGGTACAATTTCGTAGATTCTGCACCGTACCCTCTCTAATTGGGGTGGGGATGGGTATAACTTTAGTGGGTAGTGGGCGGGTGTGGATTTAGAAAGTGGTACCCATCGCGGGTAGTGGGTGGGTGATGGGTTTGAGACCTTACACGCCCCGCATCTGCCCGCCCCACATCCGTCCGCCCACTAAAAACCCATTAAATTTTGGACCATTATGAATTTAGGTATAATTTTATAGACTAATTTATAAATCTTAATATTGTATAAGATATAACTTATAATTTAACCAAATATTAGGAATAAGTTTATGAATCAAATATTAGGAATAAGTTACTAACTTATATTAGTTTTGCCTTCTATTATATATGTATGTAGTAGTGAATTTAAATTGGAACGCTCTCAATTGGAGGAAATAGAGAATGATGATTATAATACTGAAGTAATAGATGTCATAAGTATTGTCTGAAATTTGAGATTGTTGTTCCAAAGAAAAAAAATATTATGTGTTTTGTCATTTATGTTTCTAGGCTTTAATTATGTCTTTTATTATGATGTTTTACGTACTTTAAGATCTATGTTAACACTTAACTCAGATAATCCTTGGTTTATTTTATTATGCTTCTTAATGGACGTGTTTGTTTTATGTTTGTTGCTTATGTATAACTTAAGGTTACTGTCAGGCGGATCTAGTCGGTACGTCTCCAGTTGGGTAGTGGGTGTGGGGATGGATTTGAGAATGTACCCGTGTGAGCGGGTGTGGATTTGAAAATTTTTACCCATCATGAGTGGTGGGCGGGTGGTGGATTTGAAAATATTAGGTGGGTATGGGGATAGGGGAGGGGGTATCCGCACCCGACCCACCCGTTTTTCATCCCTAATAAAGTTGTTGTATCATGAGAGACAGACGACCAAAAGACCTCGAGCACCAAAGAGTGGCCATAGCAACATACCTCAACTGATTTCAATCACGAGATCAAATATTAAAAGAATATTTTTATTTCCTTTTATAATTCTCTTTTATTTTTAAAGAATTTGATTTCTTCCTTTTAATTTTTATCAGTTCGAATTTCGTCTCGGATTGTTATTTTGAATAACAATCTTAAGACAAATTTCTCATCTTCTACCTTTCTTGATTCGAGGTCATTCAAAACTGTGGGAAAATGAGATAATAAATAGATTTGTTTCGGGATTTATTCTGCCGTCTTAGCTGTCGAGACATTTCTTTTCCCTGGCGACGGAGAGTGCAAATAGTACACCCCAAATGGTGTAACTAGTCTCGAAAAAGTAAGTGTTTATCTTCTATGAATCAGATGAAACACCAAATTGTAGAGTCGCCACCAATCTTTTAATTCAGTGAGATTAGTCACCAAAAATGTCATATTATTTTAATAAAAATTCCTAAGAATAATATTAAAATAATATAACTTGGGTATGCTTACGAGAAAAATGAGTTCAGGAGTCGGTTACGTATGTGAAAGGATTAACATTCCCACAACACCCAAAATTGGTACCAGTATTTATTAATTAGATGTCTTTGCAATAATTGATAAATTTGCTTTTTAGTCTTAATATAAATACTAAATATTTAACATAAATATTTTTGACACTATTATAATATTTAATGTTGAAACTATATTATAAAATTATCCTAATATATAAAAGTATATTAATACTATAATCAGTCTTATAATAATAATTAGTGACTAAAATATAAATAGTAACATTAATTAACCTACTTTAAAAATAATATTGAAGCTGTATATTAATTATATATTTTAACCTAAATTAATTCGGGACTAAAGTATACATTTTTAATACTGAAGGGACTAAATGCATAATTTTACCTATAACATATATATTAATATAATAAAGATTAAAATAAAAATAATTAAAATGCGAAACCAAAATTGAAATACACGAATAACCTAATTTCGAGACCAAAATGAAAGATTTACAAAGCTGGAAGGACCACATACGTAATTTAGCCATTCCCTAATTACACTGAAGCCCCTCCCCCAAACGACATAGTTTTGGGGAGGGTATAAATATACCCCAACCGACCATTTAAGGGCAAACTCTCTCATTTCTTCTCTCTTTCTAAATGAGAGATGCCAGAGCATCTCTCTAAAAACCCTCTATTGAGGGTAACCGGTCACCGATCGACAGTCTCTCATCGCCATATTCCGCTGCCGCCGGCCACCACCCACGGTGGTCAGAAATTACCCGAATACACCAAAATAAAGCCCGAACCCTCCTAAAGCCGAATCTGGCAACCTTTTATTCTAAAAATCCCAAATCAACGTAGATCTAGGATTTTTACCTTCAAAGTTCGACTTCTCAACGGCGCATAGAGGCGCGTAGATGCTCCGATGAAGGTAATATTCCCTCGACCTTCTCTTTATATTTTCTTGTGGCTTGGTTGTTGGGTTTCTTCTTTTTTCTTCATTGCTGGTGCATCCCTATTTATAGGGAGTTTCGATGCTCCCTTTGGACCGGTTAAAAGACTGTACCCCGGTGAGTCACCGGAGCTACAGTGGTAACTCACCCATCGTGAGCTGTCCGGTACTAGTTGATCTTCTAGAGCCTTCGGGAGAACTCTGGAGAGTCAGTAGCGTCGTGGCAGTGTATGGTTGGATTGCTGGAGGCGGTGGCCGGAATAGACCCTAGGGTTACAATGATACCCTAGGGGTTCTGCTGGATGGCTTTTGGACCATTGGATCTCCATCTGATCGTGCGGTGGAGAGCTAC